TCAATTTACTAGAATGTAATTTCTTCTACATATGGAATCACCAAATCCTTCAATATGCAAACAACTGATTTAAATTAACCAACAATATAGATATTATAGAAAAAATCATAAACATGAGATTACAAGAAGTACAAAACATATTCTGATCCACAGATCCAATAACAAGTATTTATTTCAAAACACTATTACTTTTCACAGAAAAAGATTTCTCACATAATCAAATCTTTTTTCTAAGACAATAGAACTTCACAAGCACAATCCAAACTCTTCAAACTATAAAAAAAACTGATACAATCTAACAAGAAATAATAAACTAAACATGGTATAGAAAATACAAAAAGCAATTAGCAAAAAATAAAATTATGTTTTTAAATCAAATTATCAATTAAATTGGTACAAGACTAGCAGCATAGGTAGAAGTTACATATTATAATAAAAAACCTAACAGAAAAAAGCCATGATGGTTTATAGAACTACAAGCAGATAAAAATATTCACAAATAATCAAGAAAGAAAAACAAACAAAACAATTCAATCCCGCCAATACAACTGGCAATTGAAACAAACAAAAAAGATATCAAATGAATAGCAATTCAATTAAATTAACAAAGTATAATAGAAAAAAAAAAGTGATTATAGGAAACATTGCCAAACTGCAACCCTATATAAGAATTAATAATCTATTACTCTTAAAGAAATGTATCAGATGTATTCTGAATACTTAAAGCAAACAAAAAGAATGTATCTTCTATTGAGATTACAATATAGAAGCAGAAAAAGCCTAAGACCTATTGCAAACAACACTTTATGCCATAGAAGCAGAACAATATCAACAAGTATACAAGCAATACTTGATAATACTTTTTTACACTGCAATCTTCCAGCCCTACCTCAAATATCACAGAATACATTATAAGTCAACATGTATATAATCAAAAAATAGATAGCAATATATAGGCTACAATTAATTTACTTTGTAAAGATTGTTAATGTAATGACAGTAAATTCTTATTTAAATAAAGTCTCGCATTTAATGCCCATTCGCGATAAAAAAAAAAAAAAAAAAAATAGATAGCAATATCTGCAATGATATTGTTATGGTAAAATATGGTGAGTTTGTCGCTTCTGTTCTGTCTACACTGTACTATGTTAGAGAATGGTTTCTCCTCAAAAGAGACGTGTATATTTGGCTCGAGTTTAACAATGACGCAGGTCGATTTGTCGATCATGCGTCGTAACTGCCAACCTCCTGCGTGATCACTCCTTTGTTTAGTGACACTCTTAAGATAGATAGCCTTTTTAGTGTGCAGTGCCTATCCTCCTTGATTGCCATATTTTTATATTGTTATCTTATTTTTATACTTTTTATGCCTGATATAATTTAGCCAGCTTTGGACTTATTATCCAACTTTATACTTGTTATCTATATCGTACTTGATAATTACTCATTATATCTGCTAGATATTTAAAGATAATAGAATATACTAGAAATACTAGATATCTTTTTCATATCTATCATATTATTTTTTATATTTTACTTCATTTTACTTTTATTTTTCTCATTATTTATATAGTTCATTTTTCACTTTAACAATATTCAAACAACTAGTCACAATTAGACACAAAATAGAAAAAACTAAAACTATTACAGTTTTTACAAACAGATCCATAAACATAGAAAAAGAAGAAGTTTAGATAACATATACTACAAATAGCAAATACAAGCTTCCAAAGAAAAATTGAAAATCCTTTTTTTATTAACAAGAGCAAAACTAATAGCAATAGCTTTATTTCTCACAACAGCCCCAGCAGGCATCACAATTACAATTTGCAGTAATAGCCAAGTAGCCTTAAATACAATCCAAAAAACACAAAATGACTTTACACAAATCAGAACTCTAAAAAACAGGAACTTAATTAACACAATCATATATATCTTAAATTTTCAAAAAATAAAACTGATTAAAAAAAAGATTAAATCATATAATCACAACTTAGACAATGACAAAGTAGACCAACTAGTCAAAGACATAACCAATCAAACAGCAGACACAATTTTTAGCTTCCCAGCCATCAGATATGAACAACAAACATGAACACAAGAATGGAATGGATGAATACTAAAAAACACAATTATATTAACCTGCAAAAACATTACAAAAATTAAACACATTTTAAGCTAAAGAATGCTTGAGCGCAACCTTATTTCAATTTATAATCAACATCAAGAGACACTATTAACTAAACAGAAACTCTTTGAAGAAAATGCACATCAAAAATTACCATAGAAACTACTAACCATGAAGACTATGCAAGTAATATACTGTATAATAATTATTATTTTTTTTATCTGTTCTTCCAAAATAACAGATATATTTGCCTGTACTTTCAGCAAAATCAATACCATACTCAACATTTTAGAAATCTTATAAGATCTATTTAGCAGCTTGCACTTTTTGTTGGATATAAAATGCTCACTTTATATAAGCATTAACAATTTGAAATCAATTACAACTTTAGGTACTGCTGTTGCTGCTGGGGATGAAATAGTCTTGGCAGAACTAAAAATTAGATCATATACTGGTACAAGTTTATCATTTATTTTTATTGCATCAGTATTCTTATTATGACAAATTCTTCTTATCTTTGCTTGCAAATTCTGCATTTAATATTTGTTTCTTAGCATTGCATGTTCCAGCTAGCAAGTTTTATACATCATTTGTTTCTTGTCAATATATTAACCAGATTGATGAGTTACAAGTATTTCTGATTAATTCAAGTATTTGCATGATATTTGTCGTCTTTTTTGTGTAGCGCTAAATTTGAATAGTTATTTGATATTAGACTCGATATTATGTGGAGATATTTTTGTAAAGCTTATATATAAATAACCTTCAATTTAGTAGTATCTGGATCAATAGCAGTTCGAAATCTTTTATTCTTTGTCTGAATAAACTCTATATTTATCATTCTTAACTTTAGCAACATCTAATATACCTGTTATCAATACTTCTACATTATCTTCATTGTTATTTTCCTTTTCAAACTCAAACTTCATATTTTACAAATTCATTATCAATTTTGCCTAAGTTTACAGTCATTCATGGTATCCCCAGAATGATATTTTTTTTTTCTCAAATTTAAAGTTTGTTTGATGTAATAGTATCACAACCATTTTAATATTTCTTTTATTGTCAAATTCTTTGAGTGAATAATTTTAAAAAAATTTTCAAAATATTGTTTGCAGTACTTCAAATTGTATCTTGAATTTAATTGCGAAAATTGGATGAACAAATGCTAAGATTAATTTGTATATCTCTCAAGTCTCTTTTGTCTATGATTCATAATATAATCCAATAAAATATTCAGTAGTCGCCAATATATTAGAATATCCATTGACTTTTTTTAATTCATTAGAGAACAATTTTATTTAATAAAAAAATCAAAAGAAAATGGCTCCAAAGAAAAAAAAGAGTAATATAAAACAAACCTTTGCTCTTTTTTCACTTCTGTCACCTCCTGTGCTTTTTTTTTTTTGGAAATATTTTATAGTATTCCTTTATACTCTAGTATCAGAATATTTTGGATCAATTTTCCCATAACAATTCTGGCTCACCAGAAGGATCGATCTTGACACAGTAATTCTTATTGATTTGCTTATAAGATTAAAATTAATATGTATAAATTAGTACCAATACATAAAATAAGAAAGACTATTGTATTCTTACAATTATAAAATATATTTTAAACTGTAAATAATAAACTCATTGTGTGTTTGATTATTCAATATACTTTTAATTGTGTTAATATGATTAATAGAAAAATCAAAACTAATAATTTCTAATAAAAAAATAAATATTTTTTAAAAAAATTGATTAAAAGAAAGTTGACAAGTATTTAAAACCAGTCAGATCTAAAAATGTTTCAAAAGCTAAAGCTTAATCGCCATAAGAATTACTTATAAAATAAAAATGTTTAATTGCTAACAAAAAAATTATCCATGGGATAAAAATACTTCTAATAATCAATTAAATTTTATAACATATAACCTGAATCTGACCTGAATTTAACCCAAAAATTATCAGGTTGAGTTCAGGTTGGATTTGAGTTGATGATCGACCTGACTCAAATCCGAATTACTATCAAATAAGTCACATCAGATCAAATTCAAACTTGACTCAAATTGACTTATTCAGAACACTAGTTTTACAGTTATTGTTGTTAGTTTGCTGGAATTGTTGTTGTAATAGTAAGTTGTACTAGAGAGATGTTTTATCCTGAGAATTGAAACCAAGCCTGGCTGAGATGTATATTTATTTTGATAAATATCAATTCTTATTATAATATACTGTATATTAAAAAGAAATATACTGTATATCATAAATTTTATTCTATTTTTAAATGTTTTAGGATTATTAAATATTTATAATCTATTAATTTAATTATTGTTAAAAATAATTTGATTGATAATTTTGTTTTTTTTAATATTACAAATATATATATTTTTATTGTAAATACAAATTTTTTTAATTATAATTGATGATTTATCTTTAAATGTTAATTTAAAATTCAAAAATTCAAAAAAAAAACTACTTATATATAAATTTAATCAAAAAAATTAATCTAAAAAGTAAAAAAATTTTTGATTTTAATAAAAGTATAATGATATTATTTTGATATATTTTGCAAAAATTCCCAAGTAACTTTATTCTTTATATTTTCAAATATACTTGTATAAATTATTATTTTATTAATTATTTGCCAAATTATAAAAAAAAATGATACTTAATTAAATGTATTGTAACCGGGAAAAAAAATTAGTTACCATTGCACAAGCCTCGCTCATAGGCTATTGTGAATAATGAGGATAATGCATAAATTAGGATTTTTAGTATATTTAGGATATTTAGCATAATTAGGATAACCATTATATTTACGATATTAGGTAGCATATATAAAAGAATGCTAGTCTCATGTAAAAAGAGGAATTCGCCCAAAAGTTTAATTAAAGTTTATATTGGCCTTTTTTTGCCCCCAAAACCTCGTTTTCTCTTTTGTTTGTTTCGCGATCATTATCATGTGATTAGAGATCGCACGCTCGGCCTTTAACAACTTACCTAATTTAACTATAAACTTGCAGATAAGTGAGATACTTACCTGAGGTGTGATTCATCGCGGCGTGCCACTTAGAGGAAGCGACAGATTCGCCTTAGTGCCCCGTGACAGTGTAAAATAATAAAATCTAAATGGCTTCAAATGCTATTTTTTCTCCAAATAAAAATATTAATCTTAGCTCAAAAAAATTTTTATAGAAAATATATATACGTTTTCGCCTCAATGAATTTTATATACTGTATTACATTACAGAGAATTCGCAAATAACTTTTTTCCAAAAAAAAAGCTGCATGCAGTACTTTTGTGTTACCTTCCGTACGTATTTAATTATAGCAATTTACCTGCAAATTGGTATCGTCTTACCAAATTAAAACAGTATTAGAAGCATTACATATTAGAGTATAAAAAATGTCTTTTTCAAATGAAAACGATGAAAAAAAAGAATGGCTCTTCAATGCAATTAAAAATAAACATATTAAGTCGTTTGATTATAGTTTATTTGAGCGGTTTCAGTTTATTGCAATGGGAGGCTTTGGTAAGGTTAAAAAAGCATACTTAAAAAGTGCAAGAAAAACGGTAGTCTTAAAAGGCTTGCATAACATTGAAGATAAACCGAACTTTTATAAATTATTTGTAAGCGAGGTAATGACAGTTATAAAACACACATGCAGTATATTAACATTTTAATGTAGTGCACTAAATTTTATTAATGTATGTGAATTAATAGTTACAACATGTTTGTGCTGTTGATCATAGCGATAATGTTATAAGATTTTTGGGAGTTACTCGGGGTAAATATATATTTAAAAAAATATTTTTTGAAAGGTTTTTAACGCATATATATTATATACTACCAGATCCAAAGAAAGACACTTACTTCTTAGTATTTCAACACGCTAATGGAGGAAGTCTTCG